CCCCAATTCATTGTTAGGCTTCACTTGAGGCTTCTTTCTTAATTGATAAGAGTTTGCTAGGAATCCTTTTCTGTGTGTTCGAATAGACACACGGTAACTTCCAATGTGGGCGGCAAATGTTAGGCATGTTTAATCTAAGGCTGCAATCATATGCACAATTAGACCCGACATAGGCGTGAATGCTGGGCGGCTTTAAAGGGCGCAGTCAGACAACAACATCTGGGAAGCGTTCCACAACCATCGGCAACCTGTTCTGCTCCACCGCAGAATCGGAGTTAAAAGACATTGGGGAAAATCCGGTAGTAAACGGGTTGCGATGGGCCATGGACGGACTTTCCTGTGTCTGATTGCTCCATTGCGCTCTCATGGCGTCAGGATGGTCTGATCAGGCCATCCCGACTCCGTGCTGTTGTTTTTCCCCCCTTCACAGTATGCGCATCATCGCAAACTCCATAGGGAGCCCTTGGTGTGGAAGTGCGATTCATCGATCCCTCGGTTAAGCGCATGGGGGGAAAATGGCACACAAAAAAAGACTCACCTGCAGTTGCGTCTGATCACACACTGACAGTCTGCGCCTGCAGCTTCAAAGGGAGGTGTGATCGTGCAACTGTGGGTCAAATTCCTCTGGAGGAAATAGCCTTGCTTCCCCCCCCCCCCCCGTTTTTACTGGCACATGTGACCGCAACCTAAGCAACTCCCACTGAATCCAGTGGTGCTTACTGCCAAGTAACCATGCATGGGATTGTGGCCCTAATGTTGCTATTGTTAACATCATTTATATCCTGCTTGGAAACATAAGGAGGATTATAACATACAAAAATCAATTTTTTAAAAAACAGCAAAGACGTCCAATAATAAAAGCAGCAGGACTAGGATTACAAAACTCGGGGAAATGCCCCGCCCCCCACCTGTCTATGGCAAGAAAAATTGTCTGGCACAAAACATACTAAGAAATCAAACTATCAGTGCTTTAAAGAAGTTCTTTTAAGGTTGTGTTGGTGACACATTTCCTTATGTTATTCCTGACTGCTAATGGAATTCATACTTTTATCCTTAGTGTAAATATTAAAACTGTATTTATCCTACAGAGAAAATATTCCTGAGACTAGAGAAACATCTTATGTATTCTATGAAGATATCTTTGATGCCAAAAATGCTTGTGGTCATGTTAGGATTCAGCGTGTACAACAGATACTTCGTGGACTTGTACTGCAATGCAAATGGGGCAAGTATACGAACTTTTCCTTAAATAATTTAGCAGTTGTTACCACGACAAGGATGTATATTGTCGCCTTGCTTATTTAATATATATGCAGAGTACATCATGCGAAATGCTGGCCTGGATGAATCACAAGCGGGAATTAAGATTGCTGGGGAAAAGATCAACAACCTCAGATATGCAGATGATACCACTCTAATGGCTGAAAGTGAAAAGGATCTAAAGAGCCTCTTGCTTAGAGTAAAAGAGGAGAGCGCAAAAGTGGGCTTGAAGCTCAACATCAAAAAAACTAAGATCATGGCATCCGGCCCCATCACTCCTTGGCAAATAGAAGGGGAAGTCGTGGAAGTAGTGACAGACTTCACGTTCCTGGGATCCCAGATCACCGCAGACTGTGACTGCAGCCATGAAATTAAAAGACGCCTGCTCCTTGGGAGGAAAGCGATGGCGAACCTAAACAGCATGATAAAAAGTAGAGACATCACCCTGCCAACAAAAGTCCGCATGGTCAAAGCAATGGTATTCCCAGTAGTCATGTATGGCTGTGAGAGTTGGACTATAAGGAAGGCCGAGCGCCGAAGAATAGATTCTTTTGAACTATGGTGCTGGAGAAGACTCTTGAGAGTCCCTTGGACTGCAAGAAGAACAAATCAGTCAATCCTCAAAGAAATCAACCCTGACTGTTCCCTGGAAGGCCAGATAATGAAACTGAAGCTCAAATACTTTGGCCACCAAATGAGAAGGGAGCACTCACTGGAAAAGACCCTGATGCTGGGAAAGATTGAAGGTCAAAGAAGACGGGGACGGCAAAGGATGAGATGGTTAGACAGTGTCAGCGATGCAACGAACATGAAATTGAGCCAACTTCGGAGGACGGCGGAAGACAGGAGAGCCTGGCGGGAGATTGTCCATGGGGTCGCGAAGAGTCGGACTCGACTGTGCGACTGAACAACAACCACCACAAAAGATGAACTTTTAATTTAATTTGGACAAGGGCATTGTGAGAACAGTACTGGAATACTTCAAGATAGTAGGGAATCACCAGCACTTTCTGTGTAATTCAAATGACTAAGAACAGGGTTTTAACAGCTCTGTGATGGCATGTCTGCTGGTCTCAATAGAATTAATCATGGGCACATAAAATCAGTATATGTGAGGAATCCTGTCCTTATATATAATTGCATTTTCGCATGGCAACATTCTCTACACGGCAAAATCGGCTCCCTGATGTGTCACTCACCAGGGGTCTGTAGCCACTGGCTGCATTGCCTGCTGTATCACCTCCCTCCCACCCACAGAGCTGGCGCCCAGCGTCTTACCCTCAGTCTGTGGGAGCCGCCGGAGGAGATGGATACCCCGGCAGGCAGAGGCATGGGAGGCCCAGGCCACTCCTGCTGGCACCGTGGCGGTCATTGTCGGCCGAGGCCATCTTCAGGTAGCCGGCTGCCCTGTGACCGGACGGCACCTGGCGCACTGCCAGGGCAGAGGGCACTGGAAGTGGTCTGCGGGCCGCCGCCACCCAGCTGGGCAGGGAGCCAAAGCCATCCAACTGAAAGTGCTGAACCCAGAGGGTGGGCAGGAGGAGGTGGCGATGGCGGAGGCCCCACCCCACCTGCGAGTGGGGCGGCGGTGGTGGCAGCAGCACTTCCTGGGAGCCTCCAGGGAGGGCTCAGGGGTGCGCCCAGCTCCTCGGCGACAGAGTCACCAGAACACTGCGGGAGTCCCGGCAAGCAGGCGGTACAGATGAGTTGCTCTTCAGGGAACATCTACGCCCTGAAAGCCTAGCCCACCCTCATGCCCACCATGCATCTCTCCTGCAGTGCTGAGCAGCTGTATTTCTTGCAGCGATGCTTCCCTTGGCTCGGCTGCCTCCTGCGCCAAGCCCGAGACCCCCCAGGAGCGCAGCCGGAGAGAGCAGGGGACTTAGGATATGCCCTGCTGAGCCTCTAGGGTGGCCCTTCACAACCTCCATGAATCCATGTCTTCGCAAACACCCCCTCCAGCGGTTGCTCCTTGAGATCAGGTACATAGTGGGGGGCCGGGGGGGGTCTCACCTCTTCCTAGCACTCATATTGTTTCTAGAACGAGCCTTGCTTCTAGTATTATATATTTTGAGTTTGGCCAGATTTTTTGGAAAGCTGGAGAGCACCAGGAGGAAGGGAGACCTTACTGGTTCTTTGTTTTGATCAGCAAAAGAGTGAGTTCATTTGCATACGAATTCTATCTGCTGTAGTTGGACTTGTTATGGAAGCAAGATCCATGTTATCATAGCTCTCTCTTCTTGAGGCAGTTTATATAAGATTCCCAAGAGGTCTTGCACCTGGGTTCTAATCAATTCCTGTGCTGTGTAGTTTCAGCAGGGTGGCCATACCATGTGCTCCTGGACCTAATGTTTGATTGTAACACATTAGGTTCATTACTTTGTCCTGCTCAACTGTGTAAATGAGAATTACATTGTGAACGTCCTGACATTCCATGGACATCTAGGATCCCTCCAGCATTACCTTCTCCCCAGCATTTTTTTCCTGACTGAGGGAAAGTTTATCCTCAGGGTTGCTGGACTTACATAGTCAGATAGCCATATGGTTTCTGTGACCCCAGGAATAAATTTTCCCGTAGTCTGAAAGGAGTGCTGGGAGGAGGCGAATGCAGGAAAGATTGACAGCCATCAATACCTTCCCACTGACAGTATCTTAGCATTTCCTGCTTAAACCAGAATTAATTTGAGATGTACCAAAATGAGCTTCTTGTAACCTTTGTTGAACTCAACTAGAGCAAATCGGTCCAGATTTGGATACAGCCAACCTTGAGCCAGAATTGAACTATAACTGAATGGGTTGACTCCCTGATCACCAGTCTTGGTGATGAGCTGCTTTGAGCACTGACGTGTCATGTGGTCCGCCCCGAAGGTCACAGTGACACTACATAAGAAGGAAGCTATGGTGAATGTAACTAATATGCAAGCCTCCCTGGAGGTTCAGAACAGGCATGGGGGTGTTTTTTATGATGGGGGCTTAGTATATATCATTCCTTTCAGTGTAAGTCTTCTCCAGAGCCTTGGAGACATGTGCAGTGTCTCTCTGCATTTAAAAAAAGAGAGAGTGTTATATCAGTATTAATGGCTAAGGTAAAGTCGACAAGAGTTAGAAAACTGAAGGAATAAACTTTCTTACCATCAGAAAGGACTGCTTGGGTGGGTGGAATGTTGGAAAGATCTGTGATCCTCATGTTTGCATGCATGAGTAAATTTAGTTATTTTTGGTACATTGACCTGAAACAGTTTGCAATTTACAAACACTTCCCTGCTGGATTATGTGAAGGTGGTACTTGCCACATACAAATGAGAAGGACGGCTGTTCACAAGTTGATAACAATTTGTACACCTCCCCACTGTAGATACATTTGAGTTCTCCCCATTGAACTTTGGATCCTATATTAGTTTATTTCTAATTATTTTAATAAATATTCCTTCCAACAACTGGAACCTAAAGCAGTGACAAAATGGGACGCTTCTTGTACAATATTGCTTTAGATCAACTTCTTAGTGTGGCATTGGTCCCTTTCCAAAGGACCTGGTTCAGTTTTGAGGAATTAAATACATGCATTTATTTTGAGACATAGTTAAGTATAATGCATCTTGATTTCCTCATGTTTGTGAAGGTAATTGGTTAAACAGGAGAAAATAAGATTGTTTTAATAATATTCATAGAATTTGTCTTAGTGGAGAAGAGTGTATTTATTCACAGTTATATTTATATTTTGTTTTAGGCATTCCAAAAAGTGGTTACAAAGAAAAAGGAAGAACAGTTGAAACTCTTTATCAGTTTTGTATAGTATTACATATAGAAGATCATATACATTCGGGTCTACATTTTCCAAGAGTTATTTATCCATTTGTACACTCTTGCCCATCTAGTTGTATGAATGGATTAAGAACATAAGAACATAAGAGACGCCAATGTTGGATCAGGCCAAAGGCCCATCCAGTCCAACACTCTGTGTCACACAGTGGCCAGAAATACCAGTGCCATCAGGAGGTCCAGCAGTGGGGCCAGGACATTAGAAGCCCTCCCACTGTTGACCCCCCCAAGCACCAAGAAGACAGAGCATCACTTGCCCCAGAGCCCCTAGCTATACCTTGTGGCTAATAGCCACTGATGGACCTCTGCTCCATATGCTTATCTAATTCCCTTTTGAAGCCGTCCATGCTTGTAGCACCCACCACTTCCTGTGGCAGTGAATTCCATGTGTTAATCACTCTTTGGGTGAAGAAGTACTTCCTTTTATCCGTTCTAACCCGACCGCTCTGCAGTTTCATGGAGTGCCCACGAGTTCTTGTATTGTGAGAAAGGGAGAAAAGTACCTCTTTCTCTACCTGCTCTTTCCCATGCATAATCTTATAAACCTCGATCATGTCACCCCTCAGTCGTCTTTTCTCCAAGCTAAAGAGCCCTAAGCGCTTTAACCTTTCCTCATAGGGAAAGTGTTCCAACCCTTTTATCATTCGAGTTGCCCTTTTCTGCACTTTTTCCAAAGCTATAATATCCTTTTTAAGGTGTGGTGACCAGAACTGCACACAGTATTCCAAATGAGGTCTCACCATTGATTTATATAGGGGCATTATTATATTGGCTGATCTGTTTTCAATACCCTTCCTAATAATCCCCAGCATAGCATTGGCCTTCTTTATTGCAGTCACACACTGTCTCGACATTTTCAGTGAGTTATCCACTACAACTCCAAGATCTCTCTCTTGCTCAGTCTCTGCCAGTTCAGACCCCATCAATGTGTATTTATATTTAGGATTTTTGGCTCCAATGTGCATCACCTTGCACTTGGCCACATTGAACCCCATTTGCCATGTTGACGCCCACTCGCCCATCCTTGACAGATCCCCTTGGAGTGCCTCACAATCCTCACTGGTTTTCACCACCCTGAACAACTTTGTATCATCCGCAAATTTAGCCACTTCACTGCTTACTCCCATCTCCAAATCATTA